TCTCTATGTTGCCCAGGCTGGAGTGCAGTGGCTATTTATAAGCACAATTATAGCTCACTGTAACCTTGAACTCCTGGCCTCAAGCAATCCTCCCGCCTTGGCCTCCCAAAGTGTTGGAATTACAGGCATGGACCATTGCACCCAGCCAATTTTTTTAAAACTAAGAATGCAGTATTTGTGACCCACCTGTTATACTCCAAAAATGCTTTATTGTGTATAGCCTGGGAATTCTTGACCTAGAGTCCCAGGATAGTTGAAGGAATCACTGAAATTACATTAATGGTTATGGTATCCTTGGCACATAGTGGTGGTATAAAAATTTGTTGAATGTGGAAATTAATATTTTAGGAGTGATGACAGAGTTCTCAAAATTCTGAAAGGGCTAGTGATCCCAAGAAGGGAAAACCTTACTGGCCTAGTCAGTTACTCTCCATCTTGAAATTATGTAGTTTAATAATCCCACAACCATTCTGCATTTGATTTTATTCATTTGCCCCATTTCCTTCTTATTCATACACCACTAAGTCACAAGGGCAGTAAGACAAACATAAATAAACCATGGACATTTAGAAAAAAGCTTGAGGGCAAGGACTGATACAGGAGTAAGGATCACCTATTTTCACTGCCATTTAAAACTGACACTGAAGTCTGAGGCAAAATGAGGGCTCCACAAAGCAGAAATGAGTTACTGAGAGTGGTTTGGGAGTCTGTGCTCGGGGGTGTTCAAGAAAAGGCATTTCCATCTGAAGGCAAGACACTGATCATAAGTTGGCAGTACAGAGTATTTTCAGTATTCAGTTCCGTTTAGCAGCACTAGAAGTCTTATGTACTTTTGGTCAGGGCTTAAAGAATTACTCATTGAAAGATGGTGCAAAGAAAAGAAATGAAAACAAGGACTACGAAGGGGTCACAAATAATTTTTAAAACGAAAGGGCTTTCTCCAAATGGTTGACCATGGGAATCACCAGTGAGCTCTTCACCTTTTATTTTTTCCTCACCTTTTCTATTTTATGTTGCAAGATTCCAATTTCATCTTCAAATTCGTTAATTCTCTTATCTCGTAGTTCTACTTCATTCGTTAAACGATACTTGACTTTTTGAAGCTTGATTTTGTGTTGCTGATGTTTCTCATTATAGTTTCTGTAAAAGTAAATTTGAGTTTAGACACATCTGAACACAGTTAAAATTTCTTTTGCTTCCTCAACATGCACCTTTCTTGGGTTTCCTCTTCTTGCTTAAGTCAGGGGCCTGGCACTGGATGTAGATACTTACCCTGCCTCACATCTTCCTGCTGTCCATTTCAGGGAGTGGGCCAAGGATAACTCCCTACATAACACCAGCTTTAACTACTGCTGTGGACTGTGGACTCAAGTATTTGGCTTATCTTGGTCTTTTTTGTTTTTTCTTCCTTTTTTTTTAGACAGAGTCTTGCTCTGTTGCCCAGGCTGGAGTGCAGTGGCACAATCTCGGCTCACTGCAACCTCCGCCTCCCGGGTTCAAGTGATTCTCCTGCCTCAGCCTCCCGAGTAGCTGGAATTACAGGCATGCACCACCATGCCCAGCTAATTTTTTGTATTTTTAGTAGAGACGGGGTTTCTCCATGTTGGTCAGGCTGATCTCGAACTCCCGACCTCAGGTGATCTGCCCGCCTTGGCCTCCCAAAGTGAGCCACTGCGCCCGGACTACCTTGGTCTTGTGCTGATGGTTGTGGTATAACTTCAGCATCTGAGTTTAATTTAGGAAACTCCTTGATTTCTGATCCCTGACATCTAAATTCTGACTCCTGTTCCACCAATTCAGTCATTAACTTAAACGTTCCTCGTTCTTGGCTGTATCTTGGACAGTGATCTACTAACTTCAATTTTATCTAATTTCCAGATAACTGGGCCTGTTCTCAGTCCTTGCATTGAGTCTGGACCTCTTCTTCTTTTTTTGACACAGGGTCTCACTCTGTCACCCAGGCTGGAGTGCAGTGGTATAATCATGGCTCACTACATCCTTGACCTCCTGAGCTCAAGCAATCCTCCCACCTCAGCATCCCAAGTAGTGCACACCACCACACCTGGCTAATTCTTTTTTATTTTTTGTAGAGATGGGTGTTTCACATGTTGCCCAGGCAGGTCTTAAACTCTGTCTCAAGCTATCCTCCTGCCTCAGCCTCCCAAAGTGTTGGGATTACAGGCATAAGCCACCCAGCAAGTCTGGACTTCTAAAAGCCAGTTCCATGTAGGTCACTGTTCAAGACTCTGATTCTTAGATACATCTGAGTTATGGCCAATAAGCACATGAAAAGATGCTTAACATTACTAGCTATTAAGGAAATGAAGATCAAAAGCACAATGAGATACCGCTTCACACACACTAGGATGGCTAGAAAAAAATGACAGATAATAACAAGTGCTGGCAAGGATGCAAAGAAATTGGAACCCTTATACACTGCAGGCAGGAACATAAAATAGTATAGTGTCTTTGGAAAATAGCCTGGCAATTCCTCAAATGGTTAAACATAGAGTTGCCTTTTTTTTTTTTTTTTTTTTTGAGATGGAGTCTCGCTCTGTTGCCCAGGCTGGAGTGCAGTGGCGCAATCTCAGCTCACTGCAAGCTCTGCCTCCCGGGTTCATGCCATTCTCCTGCCTCAGCTTCTCTAGTAGCTGCGACTACAGGCGCCCACTACCACGCATGGCTAATTTTTTATATTTTTAGTAGAGAGGGGGTTTCACCGTGTTAGCCAGGATGGTCTCGATCTCCTGACCTTGTGATCTGCCTGCCTCGGCCTCCCAAAGTGCTGGGATTACAGGTGTGAGCCACCACACCTGGCCTAGAGTTGCCATTTGACCCAACAATTCTACCTAGGTATATATATTCAAGATAAATGAAAACATATGTCCACACAAAAACTTACACACAAATGTTCATAGCAGCATTATCCATAACAGCCAAAAGGTGGAAACCACCCAGATTGCCATCAACTGATGAGTGGATAAACAAATAGAGTATATCTAGGCAGGCATGGTGGCTCACACCTGTAATCCCAGCACTTTGGGAGGCCAAGGCAAGTGGATCACTTGAGGTCAGGAGTTCAAGACCAGCCTGGCCAATGTGATGAAACCCCATCTCTACTAAAAATACAAAAATTAGCTAGGTGTGGTGGTGGGCGCCTGTATTCAGGAGGCTGAGGCAGGAGAATCACTTGAACCCAGGAGGCAGAGGTTACAGTGAGCCGAGATCACGCCACTGCACTCCAGCCTGGGCAACAGAGGGAAACTCCATCTCAAAAAACAAACAAACAAACAAACAAACAAAAAAACCAAATAGAGTATATCCATACAATGTCATAAAAAGAAAGGAAGTACTGATACATGCTACCATGAACCTTGAAAGTATTATTTTAAGTAAAACAAGCCAGGCACAACAGACCAAATATTGTATGATTCCATTTATATGAATTGTCAGTAATAGGCAAATTTAGAGAGAAAGAAAGTAGATGAGTGGTTGCCTAGTCTGGTGGTGGGGAGGGAATTGGGGATAGGGTGATAGTTAAAGAGCATGGGGTTTCTTTTAGGGTAATAAAATGTTCTAATGTTGATTGTGGTAACAATCAAAACATGGACAAAAGCCATTGAACTATACACTTTAAATGAGTGAATTGTATAATATTTGAATTATATTGCAATAAAGCTGTTTAAAAAACCAAACAAACAAAAATCTAAGTTACCATTTCAAGCTACTATAACATCTAATCGGAGTAAACAACAAAGTAGATTAAAGCATCCATACTACCACTAGCCAAACCTCTTGGAGTATGACTGTGATACAAACAAAAAGAATGTTGTTCTTTAAAATTACGGAGAAGCTTCACTTTGAACCTACTAGGTGTGATTACACCAAATAACTCTAAACCAGCCTCTGTACTGTTCACATTTTAGGCCTGATAAATATTTGTTGTAGAAGGCTATAATGTGCACTACAGAATGCTTAGTAGCATCACTGGCCCCCACCCACCAGATGCCAGTAGCACCTCCTACAGTGGTAACAACTAAAACGGTCTCCAGACATTGCCAAATGTCCCTTTGCCCTGGAAGGCTGTAAATTTTTTTTTTTTTGAGACAGTCTTGCTGTGCAGCCTTGATCTCCCCAGCTCAAGTGATCTTCCCACCCCAGCCTCCTGAGTAGCTGGGACGACAGGTGTGCATCACTATTGATATGGTTTGGCTATCTCCTCACCGAAATCTTATCTTGTAGTTCCCATAATCCCCATGTATCATGAGCAGGAGGTGATACCTGGTGGGAGGTAATTGAATCATGGGGGCGGTTGCCTCCATACTGTTCCATTGATAGTGAGTGAGTTCTCATGAGATCTGATGGTTTTATAAGGGGTTTTCCCCCTTTTGCTCAGCACCTCTCCTTGCTGCCGCCGTGTGAAGAAGGACATGTTTGCTTCCCCTTGTGCCATGATTGTAAATTTCCTGAGGCCTTCTCAGCAATGCTGAACTGTGAGTCAGTTAAACGTCTTTCCATTATAAATTGCCCAGTCTTGGGTATGTCTTCATTAGCAACATGAGAACTGCCTAACACAACTATGCTCAGTTAACTTTTAAAACAATTTTTAGTAGACACAAGGTCTCGCTATGTTGCCCAGGCTGGTCTGGAACTCCTAGCCTCAAATGATTCTCCCACCTCGGCTTCCCAAAGTGCTAAGATTACAGATATGAGACACGGAGTCTGGCCTGGGAGGCTGTGATATTGACAAAGATATATTTGGTCTCCCTCCCAGTTTTCTGGTGAACACACACACACACACACACACACACACAAAACAACAAAAAACCCCTCTTAAGTCCTTGGAATCTTCTCTGGAGTAATAAGTGTCTTTTGTATGTTGATGAGATGACTGGTGTCTGGAGGCCCTTAGAGAGCTCCAGGATACTAAGGCAGGATTGGAGAGTTGGGGCTTCCAGGCCCAAACCCTTATCATTCAGGGAGGGGAGAGAATGAAGGTTGAGTTGAATCACCAGTGGCCAAGGATTTAATCAATCATGCTGAGAAAAGAAAAATAACTCAGAGCAGTCTGAGCTATGTGAAGTATGCAAAATTCATCAGGCCCAAAGACACGAGTATAGAACTTCAGTCATTACCTGCCCCCATTCAGTCTTTTTATAACTGAATTTGCTTGGGGGTGACTGTTTTAAAGTCATTTTGTTTCTGACTAGCTGCCTCACTTGTTATTTTCTGTTCTTGAAATTTGTGATACAAATAATAATGTATAGCTGGCCAGGCGTGTTGGCTTACACCTGTAATCCCAGCACTTTGGGAGGCAGAAGCGGGCAGATCACTTGAGGTCAGGAGTTCAAGACCAGCCTGGCCAACACGGCAAAACCACATCT